AGAACGAGCTAATCAAACTGTTCTATAAGTTTAGGTGGTCTGACTATAGTTGTATCACAACTTGAAGATAGTATAACTAAGAATAAAATTGGTGTTAAACTGGGGCAGACTGATCTTAAATTAGTTCAATCATATGCAGCCTGAGAAGACAAAGGTGGAGACAAGTATATATAACTTGAATACTTTAAACAGTTCAGGGCGACTAGAGTGGTCTAGTCATGTGCCCAAAGAAGAGAAAAGTAGTTGTGCCCTCTGTTCGTGTATACTTGGCCAAGTCAGAACGCTCTATAAGTTAAGGTGTTATGACTCTAGGCCTGGCTAAGTTGGGTGCGCTCAGTAAGTTTAGCCGGCCTGACCTATGCCTTATGTAAGATGGGTATAAAAGGTTAAATCATTGAAAGTCTATGAGCTATTGTTTGTCCAGATGAACTTGGGATGGTGAGCGTACTTACCTTTGTGGTTTGGCCTCCATGTGGCTGAGTGAGATGATTGTCTGATCTAAGTTTCAGTTTGATAGGTAGTTGCTTTAGATGTTCGCCACAGGCTAGAGCGATAGGAGTTAGTTTCAATTTCTCCATTTTCTGTGATAAAGTTTTTTAACTTAGGTCAATTCTTGCATTTTCTAGGATTTTTTCTTATACTTGGCTTTGTATAAATCTTGGGAGGCTACTTTTTCTACGGGAAGCGGTGCCGAAATTTCTACAAATCCAAGGAGTTAGTCAATTTTTGACTTATCAAAGTTTAACTTGTTTTTTCTTTATATCTGACCGAGTAAAAATATGGAAAGTCTCATTTTCTAAAGGGAGTGCTGCCCAAATTTTTGCTAGTTCTGGGAGTTAGACAAAATTGGACTTTGAGGAGTCAAAGTTACTCTCGAATTCTTAACTTAGCCTTGTATAAATTTTGGAATAACACTTTTCTAAAGGGAGTGCTGCCGAAATTTCTGCAAAACTAATGAGTTAGTTAAATATTGTCTAAGTTGAACTCAAGTTGTCTTTTGAGTTCATATTTGACTTAGTATAAATCTGGGAAGTCTCTCTTTCTAAAGGGAGTGCTGTCCAAATTTTTACTAATTCAGGGAGTTAGACAAAATTTGACTTTCCAAGAGTTAGAGATTATTTCTGTTTTCATATTTGAGCTTATATAAATTCTGGAAAGGAATTTTTCCTAGGGAAAGCGCAGCCGAAATATTCCTAGTGTAAAGAAATTAGATTATATTTCGACAGGTGACGATTCTGGTAATCCACCCTGGATAGGGGAGATTATGTCATGAGTCTATCTTTCTTTGGGCGCTGGCTTAGAGGTAGACTTAGGCTTAGCTATTAGGAGAAACTTTGAGAGAGATTGTGGTATTGGGATTATTCTCCAGGGGCTTATGGTTTTAGCCTGGGGCGTTGACCTATCTTGTGTTACAGGTCCTTTTTATCGTTTGACTCAGGATTTGGACTAGTTTCAGCTTGATCCTACGAGAATCATTTTCTGTTATCACTGATAACAGGTCGATTGGTTGATCGCCGACTTGTCGGCTCACGACACAACTTTGCTTACACCTGTACCTCAACCTGATTGTCTTAGCCCTGAGATTTGACATGTTTCTTTGATGGTTTTAACTGGACTTCTTTTAATGGTCATTATAGAAAACTTATGAGATTTATGGAAAGTTGAATTATGACTGGGCTTGAGTGTGTGAGGCGTGGTGTGAGTTACAGGGAACAGCAAAGTTGACCACATTGGTGTATGGCAATGTTGCTATTGTGTGTGCATGTGTTTTATGCAGGTTAGTATCTGGGAGCTTGGTATATGAGCCATACTTTGGAGGCAGTGAGAATGACAACCATGTGTCGCACGATCTGCATACCAGATGGGTTTATGTTTCCCCTTTTTTTTTTTTTTTATTGTTACCTCGAGTCCTGATTTGATATACGAGTGTTGAGAATGCTTATTTATTTATTCATTTTGCTTGTTAATTTTTATAGTTGGATGTTGTAGTCTGTGGCAGTCGTCAAAGTCAAACCCCTTGACTTATGTCTAGGCCTGGAGTGGGGCTTATCTCCAGGACGGTAAGAAACGAATGTCACCACAGGTATGGATCTGTGTACCACCCACTCTGCACAGAGTGCAGAAGAGGGTGTGTGGTCTTCAACCGCGCTTGGCGGTTGTCCAGCGTCGAGAGATTAACCCTCAAGACGTGTGTCAGCCGACAGTTGAGTGTCGAATGCGACCCTCGAGATTAACAAGGACTGCATGAGTATAGGTACTACATGGTACGCCATCATTGCGACTACTTGCGTACGCTTGCATTGCGAGTCGATATGAGTAGACCCTGCGTCTGCGCGGTTTTATACTGAGCCTCGCGCGCGACGCCTATTTGATTTCCGCATCGAAAAGTTATGGGTTGGCTATCGAGGGGCTAGGAGCGTTGTCGCGTCATTTGTGTTTTGTCGTTCTGTATGTGTATGTGTGTGCGTGTTTTATTTTTATGCTCGTAAAGTGGTGTGCGCGTGGTGTGTGGGATGCGTCCTAGTCGACCGACGTGGACTCGAGCTTGGGACCTCAGCCCCCCAAGATATCGGTTCATGTGCGGGTCCGATAGGCGTATTACCGCTCGTACCCCCTATGCTACAGCGAACGAGAAACGCCCTCGGCTGGTCCACCTCTTCGACTGCAACTGATCAACTTTCGTACTGTGGACTGGTAGCTCGGCGGGGATACGCCCACCGAAGGGAGGTGACA